TGGATTTAGAAATCGGGGATAACTGGTAAATATGGCAACGTACGTAACGCTTGTTATGCTTTAAAGATTTCAATATGAGGCAGGCACCTAGACAGCTCTTTTTGAGACTTACTGCAAGTTTGTTTTTATAAAATCTATATAATTCTTTCAACATTTGAAGTAATCCTCTGAAGTGAGCTCCCTGAACGCAAGGTTCGCTTGTGAAGAACTGGCAAGTGTCCCATTACACACACACCCCCCACACACCCACACACCCCCACACACCACACACACACACACACAAATCCACACACACAAACCCACCAGGAACGGCCTCCTTTCCCCCAGGTTACCTGCTCTCTGTGCTCCATGCGAGACCCTCCTTCAGCTTTCCTCTGGCAAACTCCCGGGTGATGCTGTCTGTCAAAACGGTTAAAAAGAAAAACAGACACACTTTCCTGGTGATCTGGTTTGGGTATTTTGTTTTGAGAGCTCTTTATATAAGGCCTGTTTTGACAAAGGCCTCTGCCTATGGTAATGCGCTCGATAAAACACAGTGCGATATGGAGACCAGTGTTGTCCATCTAACCTTATCTCCTGTTCAGTTACCAGTTTATTGTGTTTCCATTAAATACGTTATTGCTGAAGTGCGGTTTCGCAGCCTTTGCTAAATATAAAATCACAGATTCTGTGTGGCATTTGGAAAGGCGACAGCTCCTCGCAGTGAGGGTGGCGAGGGAAACAAACTGCGGTGGTGAGCACTGCAAGCCACATTCTTCCCAGGAATGGACCCCAAATCCTTGTGTTTCCTTCTCTGTTGCTTGACCACCTCCTTCCTCTTTTCCAACACAGTTGCTGTTGTTCTCGTGGTGATGATACTTAGCGCTCTGTTTGCCTTTTGGCACAAAAGGCTGGAAGAAGGTAGTTGTTTTCTGAATCCATGGGCATTGCTCCTTGAAACAGAGCAGTATCACCTAAATTGTGCTATCTTGAGAAGATGAATGGACACATGGGAACATAGGAAAGTTCTTCACGACAAGAGCTTGTTGCATTGGGTGGCAGGTATTAATACGAGCCTGGCAGCTCTCGTGAGGATATTTGAATGATGGGACAATAACAAGGAAAAGACAAGCACGATGGGTGTAACACAAAAGGCCCTATGGCCGTATTTTGTAATGCTCCACACTTCGCTTGCCTTACCTGATGGGGTTTGAGTTTCAACAGACGAAGGGAAGAATTTCATTTTTTCCCAAGTCTAAGACCTGTCAGGCATCTATGATACAATGATGTATCTAAAATCCCCATACCAATATTTTATTTTTCTAAATAAAAAATTTCGCCATCATCACAGAAAACATTCTTCTCGAGGTCAGGATTTGACAAAGAAAAGGAACCAAGGCCTCAAAGGGAAAATTAAAAAAAAAATTATCTTGACATCCTGAAAATGTATCAACATCTTGAAAACAGCTTTAGCCACTTACAAGGACCTGTGGAAAAGTAAGAGAAGTTTCTTAGAGTCTGAGGCTTACAGAGAGCTTCTTCCTCCATCTTGGAGACACTGTGAGAGACAGTGTGCCACTGAGGGACAGCATCAGAAAGATGGGGAGGGCTAGCAAGGAAACATGAACAGACAAGATATGCGAGATTTCTTTTTATCAACACTGTGCACGTGTCTTGGAGAGTGGAGGAGCCACTATATCCTTGTTGTAATCTCTCATCCTAATCACCGTGACTGTGCTTTTGCTAGCTTTGTGCAGCAAATGGAGAAGGCAAACTGTTCTAACCACACCTATACCGAGTCTGGAAAATATTCTGGGTCACTGCCAAAATACAGCTAATCCAAGGGCCACCTGGGGGTAAGACCCTGTTCTACTGTAAGGTAATCCTTAGGCTTGAACCCACAAAAGGATGCACATCGCCACTTCCCACCATGGCTAAAAGAACTGAAGACACTTGGTAAAGCTCAGTACTAGGCCCACAAGCAAAAGAACAAACTTCAAAATAAAAAATTGGACAACGTCCCCCCCTGTTTTTGGCTATGGAACATGTTAGTCTGGAATTAAAGCAATAACCTGTTTCAGAATTCAGTGTCCAAACACCAGATACCTGGAACTTCTGGGCTTCTTCCCTTGTAAAATAGCATGCAAGTTAAATCTGAAATGCCTGTATTTTATATAGACTATGTTTTAAATGCAAACATGTATAAAAAATGCTATCCTGTACAAGACTCCAGTCAGCTATCCTTATGCTATGCATTAATTCCAGAGAACAGCTGGAAATCCCTTGGAAAGTTTGATGTAATTACATCTGACTGTAAATCTTTGACTGTTTTAATATACTCAGGTGACCTAAATAGCATTACGCAGAAAAGAATTTTAATTTAAAGTAATTAAGAAAGAGTAATTGTCTCAACTTAAGATCAGTTTCTCTGAGAAATTACTGCTCAGAAAAGTCCTGTATGCCTTGTTCTACAGCCATATTCTTTGTATTTCCACATTGTAAATACTCCATGGTAAATTGCAATGGAAGCTCGGCTTCGCTCAACTTCTCCTGGCTCTGCGGTACTGCTTCTCGGTTGAGAAAATTGATCTGACTCTCAGTTTTTGGCATCTATGCTTTACTTTTACAGCTGATTCAAATGTGCCCGCTGCTAGTTTAATGGTGACTTTTCTTCAATATGAATTTCTGTCATGCTCAAACAACTAATTTACAGATGCAAGGGATATGTTGCCAATTGTCCTTTAAAATGTCTCAACCAAACAATCTTTCAAGAGGTGTAAATTAAAATGGTGGGAGATCTTGTCAGCAATTCAAGCGAGATTTTCCTTTGCTCTGGTGTTGTGCCAAGCAAGTTGTCTGAGCACGGCCTAAAGCTGCCCTTCCTAGAACGGCTGGTCAGCTGGCTTCAGGTTTATTAGATGAGGGGTATGATCTCATTAAAGCGTTGGATTTATTATACGGTAGTGCAGATCAGCCGTGTTGTTCACGTGCAATAGGTGCCTATTCCTTTGCTATTTTCTCAGGGCTTCTAGAAACAAGAGCAACTAGGAGTTAGTAATAGGCTGGATGAATTTTGGCCAGTTAAACTGATGTGGCTTGAAAACAGCCATTTGGTGTGTTATGGCCTAAGTCAATCTGCCACTCGGTTTGTGGTTTGCCCATGCAGGAATACGTGTGGGACCTGCTTTTTGAAGGTAAAATTGTGATGCCTCAGAATAACACCCTAAGGCAGAAATATGGTTATTTGTGAAAATTGCTTGCAGAGGGTGTTCATGAAGTTATAGTTTGGATTAAACCTTTTGAAGTTACCCTTAATTTAAGATAGTTGTAAAAAGCCATCGAGCTGCTTTGTGGAATCAGGTAGCTACAATAATATGGGCCTCCACCAAAACTGGACAATCATTGCCCTAAACGAAGGTGCGTAAAAAAGTACAGGCAGCAAAGTGAAGCTGGGAAAATACGACAAGAGGAGATGAAGATAGCAGGACAGGGGCACTAACAGTGTGATCCTGAGAAACAACACAGAGAAAAGTCTGAAAGCCAAAAGGGGCCTGGGATTATGATGAAATAAACCATCTCAAATTATTTGATTCTTTATATATGTGAGGAAACACAATTCTATGCTTTTCTTAATAAATAAAACCATGCAATTGTATTCTCAATTTCTTCTTTTAACAAAGCATGCCATACACCAGCAAATTTTCTTTAACCTCTGGAATCAAAGAAGACTAAAGGTATGAATTGCATCAGCGTGCTTATGGAGACTGCATTCAACAGCATTACTGGACTTACAAGCGGGGATAACATCTTAGCTAGCCTCCAGATTCAGTCAGCTATGAGCACGCTGTGAACCTTTTTTTTCTAACTACCAAATTGATGCTATTTTTAAAAAAACCCACATACAGATTATTTTCAAATGAAGACGTTTAAGTGTAGCATTTCATTAAAGAAAAAAGTGACAACATATACTTTAGCTTTCTA